GCAGAATGTAGATGTTTAGCTGATAACAAGATAAATTATTTATAAACATCTGGAGAAGTCAGGTTAGCTAGTTCCTTTCTTCAAGCAATGGTGAATATAGTCAAATAAAAAATGTTCCAGCAGGAAACAATAATTTAAGTTATTTTCTGAATGTTACTGCTTTCCATGCCAAAAGTACTCATGTTTTTAAACCCACTGAGAAAAAGATGACTTAACTACCTATATACCCAATAATTTCACAGCCCAAAATGCATAATAGTTCTGTAGTGCTAGTAATTAACATTAATGCAAATCTACCTCTCTGACAAACTTCTGAGCTAATGATGAATTTCTAAATGATCCAAAATATTTTCTTGCCTCATCTTTTCAGAAAGGGCAACAAATTCCCGCCACTCCATGAGAAAAACATGAAGCAAATAAAGCTAACTTTTTACCTCCTAAGTTTTGCTCTATTTTCTTCCTGCAACCTATATTTCCTGTTTTTCCCTAACAGTAGCCTATCTTTAGACATAAAGATATTCAGCAAAAGCTACAGCTTAGACTTTCTTTTGTAAAATAGCAACATATTTTGGGTGTGTGTGTAATCTGTACCTTTGGATCATACATCCTGTATGCACCAGGAGCTCTAATATACTCTGGCTTGGGTAAACTATAAAAACAAAAATAAACACAAAGTTTAAGTAAGACAATGACTCAAAAAAGCAATTTCCTCTAAAAGCCATGAGAACCAAATTACTCACACTGAATTCATTTTAAGCTTAAGAGCTAAAAAACTCATTGTGCCACTTATTTAACCACCAAAACTCTCTTGAGTTTGTTAGGCAAAAGAGTAAGTTGAAGAACAAACTCACAGAAACTAACTAATGGGGGGTCTTTTGTTTGGTAATCATATGATAGCTTATGCATGATAAATTGCACCTTCATTCCTATTAATTTATCAGTCACAAAATATCCTAGAAACTTAAGCCTCTTAAGCCCTTATGAGGTCAGTAATGTAAGAAGACTTGGACTGATTTTTTTTTTCTGTTAAATTTGTGATCCTAGCGTAGTGTCAAGCATTTTTATTTGAATCTGAAGCAAAAGTGAGGTTTCCTTAAGATGACAATGTAGACGAACAAATACATTTGATATTTGTGGTTTGAAATGAAATGATGCAAGTGGGCCATGGAAAAATGAAAATGAAATTTGGCCTGTGGCAAGTTTTTTTACAGTATAAATATTAACATTTTAAGTTATTAAATCAATATAAATGAAGGAGAGCTTACACTTCAGGTTCCAATTTGGGTGGTTCTTCAGTCCTTTCTTCCACAACTTTTGTTTCTTCCACGGGAGCTTTCTCTTCTTCTATTGATACAGTCTTTTCTTTAAGCACTCCTTCTGGTTTAACAGGTAGTGGTTTTACCAGCCTGAGTGGTTTATCTGGCACCTTGCGCTGAACAGGCGAGTCTTTCTTCAGTGGGGAAAGTACTGGGACTTTGGGTGCCTCAGGTTCATTTGATGGAGACTCCACTTTACTTGCAGCAGGCTTTAAAATTGAAACAGGTTTCTTGGGCTGCTCTTTCTTTTCTTTTTTAGGCGGTGGTGGTTTATAGCTTGTGAGAATAAGAGAATCAGCAAACTTAACTTGATTCATTTGTGGTTTTGTCTCTTCTACTTCACATTCCTTATCCTCAACATCCTTTTTAGGAGGTCCATCTTCCACCTCATTAACAGGTTCCACTGGCTCCACAGGCTCCCCAGGGTCCTGGGTAGGCTGTGGTATAATCTCTTGTTCTTCTGGGACATTTTTATTTTGTTCTTCTTCCACTGATGCTACCTCTTCCTTAGTCGCCCACTGCGGAATGTCAGGAACAACTATTTGTAAATCACCATCAAGTTCATTGTTTGGCATGTCTGTTTCAGCTTCTTGTTCTGTGACATCAGGGGATGGAGTTTGAACCGGTGAATGTTCCACTTTGGTAATGATGACTTCAAATCCCTAACAAAGAAAACACCATCTGGGTCAGATTGCAAACCCAATTGCAAATTAAGTTATTAAAGATAAAATTGTACAATGCACATTCACACGATTAGTAAGAACAAAAGAAAGAATAGAAGCTCAAATCTTTCATACCCAATCACCACCCTAACACAAACACTAAGGGGACAGTAGACTAACTGCACAGGAAAAAATAACGGATTCCCATTTTTGGATATTTTTGGGTATTTAAAGAATACCCATAAAAATCCCAAATTTGGCAAAGTGAGACAAGTCGGTTGGTCCCTTGAGGGTTGGTTCAAGGGTCTAACCCACTTGTCTCACTCTTCCAAATTTGGGATTTTTGTGGGTATTCTTTAAATACCCAAAAATATCCAAAAATGGGAATCCGTTATTTTTTCCTGTGCTGAGCAGCAGAGAGACACATGAAAAGCAAGGCCATACACTGAGTTCATACAGGAACTCTTTCTCTACAATGTATGTATCCTGCATGTATGTAATTAACAAAGAAAGATGGTAAATTTTAAGTGGTGAATGAAAGATGAACTTGAGACAATGATTATAATACATCTTTCCAAAGTGTTAACCACTCATCAAATACCTGATCAATAGGATCAGTTTTCTCATCAGATTGAGATTCTCCTGTCTTTAGTTCTGGTGTGGTATCAGATGTCACAGGGTCACCAATTATCCCAGCTTCCTCATCTCCTATTAAGTACTCATGAACAAGATTTATTGTTGGACTCATCGTTTCAGGTTCCCCAGCTTCACTTGGTTCCTCGCCATCTATATCTGCAAGTAATCAGAAACAAACTTATAAATAATTTTAATATTTTTGTCTACCGTGTAATTTTAATTCAATGATTTTTTTCAGCTAGGAATCTCTTCCTTTTAACAGTAAACTAACAAATATGGCTGGATTGTTTTAAGGCTAATTAGCAAAAATCCAGACACAAGACAAGGAATGTGCCTTGAAAAGGCATACCATGAATTGCCATTAATTATAAGCCCCACCTCTACCCCCTTTCCCCTAACAAGACCACCTACAGCTGTACATGCAAAATAAATTAATGTTATTCTTATAACACCTGCTTCCTCCACAAACCAAACATAAACCCAATAATTGTTTCATTTCTTCCTAGATACCATGTATTTGTCACAGGTCAAAACTGGATTCAGGGTAAATTTTTTTTACCAAGGTTGATTCTCAATTTCCTTTGTCTCTTATCCCTAATTATTCATGAATTAGGGCTAGGAGACAAAGGAAAATGAGTAGATTAAAAAATTTTAAACTAAATTTAATTTTGACCTGTAACATATTCATTTACGTAACTGACTGTTAAGTTTTCATTATTTTGTTTCTGCATTGTTTAAAATGTTTGTACCAGTGTCTCCTTGTTGTTAACAAATGACAACTCTACCAAGCTTAAAAAACAACTCAGACCAAGTTAAGTCCTTGCCTGGGAGAAGATAAAGGGGTGCTACATCTAGTGATCCCATAGATTATTTCATGTAATCCTGGCTTCATAAGGCCATATTAATTTTTTTTTTCATTTGAGCCTTGCCAAAAATCTTGAAATCCAGGCCCAATCATGCTTTGCCGACATAGGCCTTCAGGATATATTCCTGATGCAAGAGTATATCCACAGCTAGCCAATCTCACCCCAGCTTCCAGGAAGGCCTTAATTTGGCCCTGACTGGCCAGGCCAGGGAAGACCTTCTGATCCTGGTTTCCCCATATGTTTTTATCCCTTGGCAACCCTGTCCATGGCTAGGGTTACCCTGGATTTTAGGCGGGTGGCTATGACTCTAATTTTTCCAGAGTCTGGCCAGGTCAGTTAGAGCATGAAACTAAGGGAAGGTAGCGCATGGGTGGATTTAGTGTTAGGCCGAGTGGATCGCGGCCACCCCTTTCCTGTGAAATTTTGTATTATTTTTAAAGAATTCCCAGTAAAATAAATTAATAGTATCTATATAGCTGGCAAGTGTCATGGTCGCCCCTTTCTAAGTTTTCTGGAACCGCCCCTGTAGTACATTATCTATGTACATTCAATCAAATAAAATTATCCCTCTAGAGTATCTTTAGTCAGCACCTTTTGAATCTGGCATTTCTTCTTGATTTTCAAAACATTCTCTCTCTGAAACAGATGCTTCAGAAGGAGTGCCAGGAATTAAAAACTGCTCTTCATACAAAACTGTTCCTTCAAGGTTATCATCTCCATTAAACAGCAAATCTGCTCCTGCAGAAACATCAAAGGGGTCATGTGTTCTGGCAAGATTATCAACTGGAGATGTACTACAACGAATTTCTTCTCCTTTTACCCAAAGACCTGCTGGCTTCACAAAATGAAGATACTTTGGAACATCTCCTCTGTGGAACTGTAGAATGAACAAAATAAATCATTTGAGTTATGTACAGGGGTACAAAGGAGACCATTGATGTTAGCTGTTGTGATAGAATGTTAAAGATGGCCGCAAATAAAAGGAGAGTATCTCAAAGAAAAAATAAGAATTTTTCGTGAAAAAAAAAATACATCCAAGGTATGTAGCTCTTTCTAATAAAAGCTTCTGATTTTATTTTTTTTAATTTTTGAATTTACTGGTATTCCTTTCCTCTGAAAGGGTTTGAAGACCAATATAATAAATTATTGTCTTTTTTGATAACTATAAAAATAAATTTAGCAAATCCTGATGACACAATAATATTTTATCCAACCAGAATGTCTGTACTTTACTATCTTGTTGGACGTTTCTTTGGGAATTTAACTGAGAAAACAGTGGCAGTATTTTAGCTTACCACTGCTGGTCTTGTCACAGGCCAAAACTGCTGTCTCTGTCAATTCAGGGGAAAGAAAAGAGCATAGTTAAAAACTCATAGCAAATCAAAATCAAACATACAATGTATTTTAAAGGGTCATCCAGTGCAGGTATTTCAGACTGTGTAGTAAATTATAAGCCACAGCCATGAAAATTATGCAGGTTTCTAATCAAATTCCAAACCATTATTAATACCCTAAAAAGATATGTCGAATATTTTTTCCTTGCATTAAATATCTCTTTCATGCATAAATAATATAGTCGCCTTTCACCATCTTCCTTTGAAGCAAGAACTTTCAATTACACAATTTACTTACAATTTAACAATTACACCTCAGGTACAGCAGTAACTTTGTTGAGCTGCTACCAACCAAATATCCATACCCAGAGAGTCACCTGACTAACAACCAATACACCTGGTCCAGCTTAATGTACACTGGTCAGGCAGCTCTCAAATTTTACTTTTGTGGGGTAGTTGCATGTTTTATTTTACTTTTCTATGATTTAGTTAGAAGACTTCTTGTCTTAGTCCAGGCCAGTCAGGCAAGTGAGCATAAAATACCTATTTGAACCCAGCAAAAACTCTTTATGTCCTTAACAACTGACACTGAGGACTTGAAAAAAGTCCTGTCGCTTCATCTGGGGCAAGGAGGTTAATTTCCCTGCTTAGCCAGTAACTTTTCAATCTCACTGACACAAGTCATCCTTTAATATTATTAATGAGTAAATCATATGTCAACAAAAAGGTTGCATGATCTACCAGTGTTAAAACATTAAACTGTTAAGCCTACTTGATGACAAAGAACAAGGCAGAACTCAGGCTTTTTAAAGCCCTGTTGATTACATTTTACCCTCATTGGTTCATACTCGAGTAATACATATATGCAACTAACATATACAAGTGTTTAAATCCAAATTAGTGTGAATAATGAGATTGCTGCATTCTATTACCAAAATCAACAGATTATTCTAAAAGACTAGTTGTTAATGCTGTTGTTCAACAAACCGATGCATATGACAGGATCATAAAAGCCACACAATTATTGAAAAATTAAATTTAACACAATAATTAAAATAGTTATAATTAGTGTAAATTTCCCTTAGCATGGACAGAGATCGTAAAAGTCATCCCTTGGGCCTATACATATTGATACATTTTCTACCCAAGTAAAAAAATAAATTAACGATATGTTCACTTAGTATAAGGAGGAGGGAGGAGGGATTAATTGGCAAACACTTTCAAAAATTTAGGATTCACACTGTAACTCCAGACTAACAATGACATTTTTTCTGTAATTTTAAGGAATGAACCCTGCTGTAGACAGAGCATCATTGCCACTGGTTTAGGCAGTTTGAGACCTACCGAAGTAGAAGCTGTTTTAGGTCTAGGTTGATACGCAGAGCAGCAGTGTCTTAATCCGTTGTGTGAAAGAACATTCTGAACTACATCTGGCATACACGTCAAAGGCCGTGTAAAAGCTTTCAGTCGCTGAATATCAGACCCATCTTCAGGCACAGATGTCACAACATCAATAGAGCTAAAATCATAAGGAAGTGGAGCTGATTTGCAACGCTCCCGCTGCCGTTCCACCAGTACTTCTTCTCTTGGTAAAAGAGAGTGCTGGCTTTTTGCAGAACTCGTCCTATTTTGCCAAGCACGTTTTGCAGCAACCCTAGAAGATGCAGATGCAGATCCTCCATGAGATTTTGCAGTTTTAGGTCTCTGGGGCAGGTAATAATCAGCTGGCCTTGGTGGAGCAGATTTGCATCTTGCTTTATGAAGTCCAAGATACAAAGCAGAAGGTGACATGCTTTGAGTTGGTTTAGCTTTGCGTACTGATCGTGAGCTATATGAACTTATGCCACTTCTTGATGATAATGGCCGTGATGTTGCTGGTGTCGGTGATGGATCCCTTAGACTTGCAAAGCTTCCCAAATGACTTCCAACAATACTATCACGTTCCCTTCCACCAATCCTGGGAGCTGCACTTTTAATGCGCTGAATGGGCCTTCCATGCCGAGCTCTTGCTGCGTTTGCATTGCTGAAGAAATCATAAAGTGACTGAGGATCTAAATGTTGTTTTGAAGTGGTTTTCTGTCCCCTTGTCGTCCACAATAAGTGATGATCATGAGCCATTATATTCCAAGTGCCTTGACAAAAATACAAAAAAATGACTACAGCTGATGCAGTAAAAGTTCCTTCCCTAAACACTGCCTGATTCAAATAAAGAAAATAGCAGTGATGAAAAATTCTTCAAGGCATGTAGATGTTATGATCTATTATTAAAGCCTTCTCCAAATTAGGTAGCACAATACAACATGCTTGTCACTCATGTCACTGTCATTATCAAAGGGTTCCATTGCCGTGGTCTAGAATTGGGGTGGTCTAGAAAGAAAACACAACAATTATCAGAAAAATAATGACAAAGAGATTGACATAAACTAAGGGCACTTTCCATTTGTCAGAACTGGCTGGCTGGACCATTGCCGAAAAGTCATTTTAGCTATGAAATCGGCTTTTTCTGAAAAACTATCTCCTCCGTGCCCCGGGGGGGGGTACTGCCATATTTGGGCTACATAGGTATGTGCCGCTGTGAAGAGTATGGTTTTCAAGCAGTTTACTCTAGGATAGGGTATATAAATCAGAGCGTTTGGGTCTAGAATAGGGTATCATTTTTTAGGAAACTGATAAGTTGGTTGCAGATTTTATCTAGACTAGGGAGACAGCTACTCTAGGATAGGGGGGATTTGGGGAGTTTACTTTAGTATAGGGTAGCAAAATTCAGCTGAACTAGCTCTGGTATAGGTTAAGGGTTCCAGGGTCCCAGCGGCACATGCCCACCCAGAAATTCTTTAAGTACCCTCCCCCCCGCCCCCCACCGGGCTTCGTGCACACTGTTTAGGATTTGACTGATCTGGATGGATAGTTTTGATCAATAGTGAAATTCTCATTACGACGGGAATGGTCTGGCCAGTCAGTTCTGACAAATGGAAAGCACCCTAAGTGAAACATAAATTGATCCCATTTTTATGGAATGAGCCAAAGCTCAGGAGGAATGGACTCTGTCTGGAAACCTTTTTCCTTACTATTTATCACTTCTTCTGAACCATCGGTTGCATCTGCAAACTTTGTTTAAGACCTAAATTTGACTCGCTCAGATTTATTAAAACTCCTTAAACAATGCCTGAAAAGCCAGAGAATTCTATACAGTTTATTGTTTTTGTCATCACAATTCAATTTTAAATTGAAGTGGAATTTTTAATAAAAGACATGTCACTCAACTTTAATTTGCAGATTAAAAAAAACCTTCAGTACACAGGATGTTATAGTAATGTTCACCGTTTTAAACTCCTCTAAAATTTACTGTGTCAGACAGTACGTACAGTCACTATTGCGACATATTAGATGGTTATGTCTTAACGTGCTTGAGATTCCATTTACGTAAGGTACAGATGAAAAGGTCTGTTTGTGAACTGGTCTCGGTGAATCATAATTATTGTATATAGCATTTGGTTATTATTAAATGGTCATGGATAACGCTTACTAATAAAAATAATTGAACGTTTTAAGAAGGAGCAATTCGCAGTTCAATTAAGCCTTTTTTGAATTGACAAACCGGAACACGCGAACTCTACCCTGCTAGCAGAGTCGCCAAGGTATTACGCGAACTCCAGCGACAGGCTTAAAGTCTTTGCAGTCGAGATCCAAACTAATAAGCTTTCCTTACATTGAATACAGTAATTTCAGTCGAACAGGTTATTAATAGTACCAAAATTTCAAAACAAGCTATTAAAAAAAGTGCGCGGAAAACTCACCTCGAACCAAGATCGCGTCTGCAGTCTCTCCTGTCGCTACACTAGTTTTCACACGATAAAATAAATACTTTCACCCCATGTCGCCAAATGACCATTATTCAAGATCAAAGAATTAGCGGATTGAGACGAATATCGTGTGGTTTTAGCCACGATTAACTGAGCTTCGCAGCCAGTGAAAGGCAAATGTTATGTTTCACCGAGTCACGCGTTGTTTGCCGTTTCCAGCCGATGAAGCCGATAAGCCAATCATAGGCGGCCTTAGATCACGGTAACCAAAAACCTGCTTCTCTCTCTGTCGTCATGACAACCGACGTAGTTTACTTGTGAAGGCAGAAAGAAGGCGCAAATCGTCATGTCAGGAAAAAGCACACCATCTCAACCGAATGTAAATGTCAGTTCGCTCTTACAGACAAGTCATCCCTTGCCAGAGCAATGGACGTTAGTCAAGGAATGGCACATCGAAAGAAGAAGTCCTTCTGAAGACTGGAGAACCCTGGCTAACTCACATATAAGTCACATGTACAGACAAATGAAGGAATCTATTGAACAACATCCAAATGCACTGTTACATTAAAGGCAACAAAAGAATGTGAAGAATGGCTGAGAAAATGGACTTGAAATTCAATATTGGAGACGATTTCTCTAGTTCCTAACCTTCTTACAGCATAAGTGAGTGTGTGCCGGTTATTAATAATTGATCACTTCTGGCCGTTTAAACTTAAGATTCGTCTCCGCAGTGTTCTGCTAACCAGGACGAAGAAAAAAGCTGACTTGCTTACTTGCAAAAAAGTCAACAACCGCAGTAGAATTGAGGACAAGAAAAGGATTGGCAAACATTGCAACTAATCTACAAAACCAGCTGCCCTTAAACCCTTGTCTGCGGGCTTCTTGACTTGGATTATGTTACGCAATCTCGTGCAGGTGTAATCAGTTCAGCAGATTTCTCTCACATTTTCTTTCCAGTATGCGACTTGTTAAACTTCCTATCTTAATATCCAAAGAAGCCGAAGAACCAACTCGATTCCATGTTGAACGTTTTTGAAAGTTTATGTTTTCCCAAACACTCTCTTAGGAGCTTAATTTTCAATACCAGGCGTTTGTGTACAATACGATTATAAAAGCGCCGTTTCCGGTCTATACAAGAAAAAAAAGAAATCCAATCACTCGGCTACTGAGGAACTAAAGGAAGAAAAATGGATCACGAAAAGATGGTGAATGGACGAACTATAAACACATTAAAAGATATGGCAAAAGTTTCATCTTGTGCGTGTGTGTGTTGTCTGTGTAGCTGTTTCACAAAAGACAATAAAGTTATTCCTTTAGAGAGTCTGTTGTTTTACAGTACAATACCTTATCAATATTTTGATCCCTCTTTAATCATTTATTGTTTGCCGTTACAAGCTACGATATTTGACAAGTTCCCTCAAACAAATAAAAGTAAGAAGGCCACATTTAATTACTCTGTTGCAGGGTGAAGCAACAAAATATGTTTCATCCTCTTTTTGGCATTGGCCGAGAAAATTCCCTGTTAGCTTAGACTGGCCTGTGTTGACAATAGGGCCATTTATACGAGAAAAAATAAGACGCGAACTTTCCGTATAAACGGCACATTTCGTCTAAAATAAGACGCGGCTTAGCTAAGACCCGTCTTATTAGATAAGACATGCTCGTATAAATGGTACAGTTCGCGTCTTATTTAAGACGCGTCTTATTTTTCATCGTATAAATGGCCCTAATGTTACTTTGTAGAGGCAAAGTGCCAGTAACCTTAGATGCTTGAACTCTGGTTTAATTGTAAAAGAAAGACGCGGAATTAGTAAATTGTACACTATATTTAACTTACAGTTTTTCAATGATTTTTTTTTTTTTGAAAGTCCTTTGTACGGCGGCCACTTCGGACAGAATCAAATAGCAGTGTTGCCGAAGCTAAGTGTACCTCGCCGCACAGTCCATTCATTGCCCTGTAAACCACACTAAAAAAAAACCTTCCAAGTAATTGTAACATAGGACTCTGCCCCTAATCGTAATGACATTTTTTTTTATCTTCATTGGGTTCATCCCTTCATCTCTCCCTCTCTCTGCAATGATGCGCCCCAAAAAAGGACTCGTTTCCTGCCATTTTGCTTAACTTTCATTGTTTGGCCTGGGGTGGGAGGGAGGAGGTTGCTAATTTTACTTATATCACTGGGAAGTCCCAGCACTTTTTGACCTCCACTGTTACAAACGTGGAGGTAGCCTTCCGTTTGAACGTCAAACATTTATCATAATAAGTTCTAGTGTTATGACAGATAAATTGCCCCACTGAAATCTAAGCCTTTATACAAATAGTCCAAATAAAGGGATATTAAAAAATTCGGTGCAATAGAAATACGCCCGAACAAACGCTCCTCCTTCTGCTAATGGCAAAAAGCACAACACAAAATGCAAAAAGGTTAACTAAACACAAACGGAACCGACAACAAACCAACTGTAAAAACCGAATAAACAGGACAGATTTTTCGGGCTCTGCCCTTCATCGGTGAAAGTCCATGATGAAGGGTATCATCTCCTCTCTCTCTCTCTCTTTCTTTCCGAAAAGACGTGACATTCGTGAAAGTGGGTAGCCTAGAAAGTGGGCTAAGAGTAGTCCCATAGGATTGTCGCGACTGCAAACGTATGACGGAGGAGTCTCAAGTTCCTTTCTTGAGTCTAGACTCGAAAGAGTGAAGCGCGCGATTTTTCAACCCCCTCTCGCGTGCGATGCTTCTCGGACTCTCTTCCCGCTTGTCTCGCGCGCGTAATATAAATGGCGAAACTGACGTGTGCGCAACCAATCGCATTTTTAATGACATAGATACAGGCAAGAACATCGTGCATCGATTAACCTGGCTTAAATTCGTGGTTTGGTGATTTGATTTCAGTTCCGCAAAGAAAAAGGAAATGCCTGGAACAGAATATACAGAATATAATGCATAAAGGGATCAGACAACAGTTCTATCTTCTACCTTTTACCATATTCCTTCCAGTATAAACGCCCACTTCTCACAACTGGAAAAATAGAAAGAAACAATAGAGTAAGAGTGAATGAAATAAACCCTACCTTAGACTCACTGTCCCTTGTATACTTCGATTTCAAACCAAATCTTCCAGTACTGTCTGAATATTTTGTGCGATCAAGCGCATATGTGCATTCGTCGCAGTGTGGCCATGGATCTCGACGAGCATTATTTCTCCTCTGAAAATGGACGTGATTCAGATGATACGAAAACCAAAACGTGTACTGCTCCCAGGCGCGTTCAGAGTTCATGATTCGTCGACAGAATTCTTCAACTCCCAAATCTCCTTTACATTTAGTTCAGAGCAAACTGTTCAAATTTAACTTTTCGAGTTAAAAATTAGCCTTGATAAAACATGTCCCAACTTAAGAAAGTCTAGACAGTGCAAACTTCGATACAAGTGCATAAAAAGGAAAAAAGTCAAACTGTCTAGTTCATAAGAGCTCAGAAAAGAGGAAATATAACGGAACAATTCGCGTGCGTTATGGAAGCTAACGATGGATATACTATTGTCTAATCGGAAGCAACATTTCCAAGGATAAACTGAAGTGCCAAAGAAACAAAACCCGCAGCAAACTTGATAAACAAACAGCAAAAGTCATTTCAAATTCTGGTAGTTAAGAATACTTGCGTTTTTTTTTGTGTTTTTTGTGAATTCTTAACCATGTTTGTTGCTAACCACATCAACTACAATTGGCAGATAAAATCGAAACACAATACGTTCCCATTAGACAAAGCAGGTGCAATTCTCTTCTGTTGTAAATAATACATTAACAACACTGAATATAAGTGAGGAAAAATTGTATTTATTAATCGCCTGCTGTCAGAAGGCAGATCGGACTGCGTTTAAGATGCCTCGAATTATTCTTGCTGACATGAAAAGGACTGTAACCTTAACGTAATGTGGCGACAAGAATTTTCAGAATGTTTCTAACAACTGTTTAAAAATTGTATTAGAGAGGGCACAGGGACGATGTTTTAACTGTCCATGCTAAGTAACGAAAAACTCTTCTAAGTATGCAAGTTCATAATCTATAGCTCTTTCACGTCAAGGGGTAGTTTGCTACAAAGCCGTTTTTAGTGTCGTCACGCAACGCTTTTTTTTAGTGGGGAGGAGCGTTGCGTGACGACACTAAAAACGGCTGTGTAGCAGACTAGTCAAGGGACTGACTGAGTCTGAGTCTTTCGTACAGAAGAACTCATTTCGTGGAAAAAAAACGTTGGCAGGGAATCCAGGACTTCGACATCATTTCTTCTTTAATAAGGGATTTTATCTAATTTATCCATAAAAAAATGAAAGTGGTGAACATTTAACTCCCTGAAACAATAATACAACTGATGTGAAGGAGAAATATTTTACTCCCATCCCTTCTCAGAGGCAGCATGCTAATAATGGAAGTGAAAAATTTATTGTTTAGAAGAAGGAAACTTGTGACGCTGGAAGTGGGAAGGGGGACGGGAGAACATGGATAATGTTTAGATAGAGGTCGCTGGGGAGCCGGCACCCCGTAAAATGTAACGAAATGGGTCTGAGAACAGCAAAAATGCAGAAGGTATAGATTGGCAAAACAACAACTCTGCACCTGCATCACGCTTTTTTGTACATTTCTTTCCCGTCACTGCACGACTGCGACGTGAAAATGCCTAATTCCACGTTTTGTGGAGGACGCGAACACAAGACAACGGCTTTCTTTTTCTTGCTTGAACTCCGATACAGTCTCTTAGAATTCGTCAACTTCAGAAAAAATTGCCAACACTTGAAGAATTGAAAGAAATGAAATAAGCGCGATAAAGTTTGAAGTAGCGCGACTTCACTTTTTAAGTGACGTTTTCGTTGCCGTCGCCGTCGTTGTTGCTTAAGCTCACTAAAGCGTCCGAACGGGTTTTAGGGCGCTGGCGCAAAGCGCGAGACAACAGAGAGAAGGGTAAAGAGAGCTCCGTGTTCGCGCCCCAAAACCTGCCTGAGCGCGAAAAGTTGGAGGATATTAGCCAGGATATTTAATACCGATGACACAGTTATTTTCCATGATTCGTACTAGAGAAATGGTTTGGGAATCAGCTTTAGGAGCACAAAGGCGAAACTAGAGAAAAGATTGATTCACTCACTCAAAATGTTGACATTGGCTAAAAGCTTTGGAAGGAGAAGAGCTGGGTTAAACGCTGAGAAATCCAGCGGAGACAAAGCGCTTTTTTGTTTTATTTTCTGTGTCCTCTGTGGGTTGCGCTTTTTTCCACCGCCTAACACAGCTCACAGTCTGCTATTATGGTTCTTGAGTCTGCAGAACCGACACAATTTTAGCTGCAGGTGGATTCGCCAAGACAGCATAGTCCGTGATGCTGAAAATGACTCCTTGTAAAAAAAAATTGTCATGCAAGTACACGCAAATCTGAATAGAGTAACGTTTAGTATTTATTGAATCCACCTAAAAGGACATCACTACATAAATTTATAGAATTCGTTTTCTAGCGTAACTGCCTTATATGTTCTACAGTATTTAAGTAGTTTATAAAAATAAAACCTGGCTCCTTATAGTATAATTTTTTCTTTTTTGAATACGGATTAGAATATTGTTAGTTCTAGAGTGTCACTCTCTTGATGTTAAGACGCGTGTTTTAGAATTCTTGACTGATCGATTGAAAGATTGTGTAAGTGCATTTGTTCAGTCTAGCCTCTCTCTATTATGTCAGAGACACCAAACTTCATACAACTACTTTTCTTTCGTAATGCGGACACTTTGCGCCACGCTGTTTGTGTCTGTATCACAAATCAGATTACTGAGGTCGGGTAGAAACTCGTCAGGGGTTTTCAACCCGTATTAGTAATTTTCTGGGTTAACTTTTACTTAGAACGTTACTAACACGAAACGTCGCAGAAAGTCTAACTGATGAGTCGGTTATTGTTGTAAACTGAAGGAACTGTATGTGATCACTCTGTCCTCCGCAGAGCAGCCGATAAAACTGAAAGATCAATCTGCCAATGTCTACCACCTTACCCAGCAAGCCCCTTAGCTTCTGTAGTCAACTCTACAGACAACTCCACAATACAAACACTCTCCCGCCCCATGTAAAAGAATCCGGACTCTGGAATCTGGGAAATGTTTGCTTGTAGAATCCGTAATCCGGGAAATTTGAGTTGTGGAATCCAGAATCCTGGGCATTGGAATCCAGAATACAGCTCAAGGAATCCGATGTCCCACTAAAGACTGGAATCTGGAATCCAAGTTCCCCTGTCAAAGAATCCAAAACCCAGTACCTGGAATTCAGAATCCACGGCATGGAATCCACAATCCAAGACTGTCTTGGATTTCCTTACATGGAGCAATCTCTCTATTACTAACAGTTCTACTTGTCTCGAAGATACCACACTTCATACGCTGGCAATTTTATCGACATTGTCTTTCTGGTCCCCTTAATGTTAAGAGGGTTTGATATTGTAGCATTTTCATAATAAAACTGGAAAAAAACGACATCACAAGTTTCCTTCCACGACATTTAAATCTCTCAAAAACTGTAGTAACAAACTGAATCAGAAGTGGAAATGTTTGACATTAGCACTATTCAGGCTGTTCATCCAACTACAACTTGGCTTGGTCCTTGAAAAGTTGACCCAGCTTTGTAGTGAGCATGATATTACCTTTGACCTTCAACTTGCTCTTCATGAATNGACGTGAAAATGCCTAATTCCACGTTTTGTGGAGGACGCGAACACAAGACAACGGCTTTCTTTTTCTTGCTTGAACTCCGATACAGTCTCTTAGAATTCGTCAACTTCAGAAAAAATTGCCAACACTTGAAGAATTGAAAGAAATGAAATAAGCGCGATAAAGTTTGAAGTAGCGCGACTTCACTTTTTAAGTGACGTTTTCGTTGCCGTCGCCGTCGTTGTTGCTTAAGCTCACTAAAGCGTCCGAACGGGTTTTAGGGCGCTGGCGCAAAGCGCGAGACAACAGAGAGAAGGGTAAAGAGAGCTCCGTGTTCGCGCCCCAAAACCTGCCTGAGCGCGAAAAGTTGGAGGATATTAGCCAGGATATTTAATACCGATGACACAGTTATTTTCCATGATTCGTACTAGAGAAATGGTTTGGGAATCAGCTTTAGGAGCACAAAGGCGAAACTAGAGAAAAGATTGATTCACTCACTCAAAATGTTGACATTGGCTAAAAGCTTTGGAAGGAGAAGAGCTGGGTTAAACGCTGAGAAATCCAGCGGAGACAAAGCGCTTTTTTGTTTTATTTTCTGTGTCCTCTGTGGGTTGCGCTTTTTTCCACCGCCTAACACAGCTCACAGTCTGCTATTATGGTTCTTGAGTCTGCAGAACCGACACAATTTTAGCTGCAGGTGGATTCGCCAAGACAGCATAGTCCGTGATGCTGAAAATGACTCCTTGTAAAAAAAAATTGTCATGCAAGTACACGCAAATCTGAATAGAGTAACGTTTAGTATTTATTGAATCCACCTAAAAGGACATCACTACATAAATTTATAGAATTCGTTTTCTAGCGTAACTGCCTTATATGTTCTACAGTATTTAAGTAGTTTATAAAAATAAAACCTGGCTCCTTATAGTATAATTTTTTCTTTTTTGAATACGGATTAGAATATTGTTAGTTCTAGAGTGTCACTCTCTTGATGTTAAGACGCGTGTTTTAGAATTCTTGACTGATCGATTGAAAGATTGTGTAAGTGCATTTGTTCAGTCTAGCCTCTCTCTATTATGTCAGAGACACCAAACTTCATACAACTACTTTTCTTTCGTAATGCGGACACTTTGCGCCACGCTGTTTGTGTCTGTATCACAAATCAGATTACTGAGGTCGGGTAGAAACTCGTCAGGGGTTTTCAACCCGTATTAGTAATTTTCTGGGTTAACTTTTACTTAGAACGTTACTAACACGAAACGTCGCAGAAAGTCTAACTGATGAGTCGGTTATTGTTGTAAACTGAAGGAACTGTATGTGATCACTCTGTCCTCCGCAGAGCAGCCGATAAAACTGAAAGATCAATCTGCCAATGTCTACCACCTTACCCAGCAAGCCCCTTAGCTTCTGTAGTCAACTCTACAGACAACTCCACAATACAAACACTCTCCCGCCCCATGTAAAAGAATCCGGACTCTGGAATCTGGGAAATGTTTGCTTGTAGAATCCGTAATCCGGGAAATTTGAGTTGTGGAATCCAGAATCCTGGGCATTGGAATCCAGAATACAGCTCAAGGAATCCGATGTCCCACTAAAGACTGGAATCTGGAATCCAAGTTCCCCTGTCAAAGAATCCAAAACCCAGTACCTGGAATTCAGAATCCACGGCATGGAATCCACAATCCAAGACTGTCTTGGATTTCCTTACATGGAGCAATCTCTCTATTACTAACAGTTCTACTTGTCTCGAAGATACCACACTTCATACGCTGGCAATTTTATCGACATTGTCTTTCTGGTCCCCTTAATGTTAAGAGGGTTTGATATTGTAGCATTTTCATAATAAAACTGGAAAAAAACGACATCACAAGTTTCCTTCCACGACATTTAAATCTCTCAAAAACTGTAGTAACAAACTGAATCAGAAGTGGAAATGTTTGACATTAGCACTATTCAGGCTGTTCATCCAACTACAACTTGGCTTGGTCCTTGAAAAGTTGACCCAGCTTTGTAGTGAGCATGATATTACCTTTGACCTTCAACTTGCTCTTCATGAATAGCTCTTGAGGGTTTGCTTTTCCCATAGCGATAGCAGCCAGATCATCATCCTCAACAGTTATGGTGCAGTCGGCCTTGCCTTGCTTGTATGGACCTTCCGTCACGGAACCAGACCCACTTTTGAGGTCCACAGTCCACTGACCTGCGGTCTTACCACCCTTTGTAATATTCCACTCAAATATGCCCTTGACTTTCTTAACAAGTTCAGGGTGATCTGAGATGCGTTTGCCAATCTCTTTGAAAAGAGCTTCACTCTTGAGGCCTGATTTACCTGGACTGGAGACTACCGCATGTACATCCTGTTTCAAAAAGACAATAATCCAAACCATTAAAATATGTCAAAATTACCTCAAGTAAAGACTGGGAAAATTCCACACATTTCGGCTCCACTACGCAGTACAACATGGATAAAAAAACCATTAGCTTTATTTTGAATGTTTTGGCCGAGCACCGTGTGATATAGTAAGTCAAGATTTTTTGTTGCATGAATCAGCAACTACATGTGCAACTTTTTTTCACATGGCAGTTGAGTGGAAAGGCATAATTACATATGATATGGCCTTGAAACAGCGACATAATTCTAGACGAAATGGCAACAAACATGAACTTTAAGATGGGTTAAACACTGACCGTGACATGGCCTTCTCCTCAAATCATGAAACAACCATATTTAATACTCAGACTGGGGACATATGTACCCCGCCTAAGAGGGCTTTGTTAATGGCCCAAAACTCACCACAGCACCCTGTCGTGTGTTGTGCAGGCTTCACCTTTTCATACTAGTGGTCAAGCCATTTTCAGGTTACTATCTACCCAAAAAGAAGCAAAACCACCAAAAACGTTGTTAACAAGAACTTACTGGCATTGTTGTCTTGGCATCATCCATGTCCTTCAAGTCAACATATCCACCTGACAACACCAAATGCCCACTTTCTACCACTTTACACTGGAAAAAGATTCTGTTACCCTCCCTCCACATGTCTGTCTGAATCGTTTGTCCAGGATAGACAGGCTTTGAAAACCTTGTTTTGATGGCCTTGAATTTAGTGACATCATTGTTCGCATACTGCCTCAGAATATGACGAGCAGCAAAACCAAATGAACAAAGACCATGCAGGATAGGAGATGAAAAACCTATTTGAAGGAGAGCAAAGAATAACTGTACTTTTAGTGCTAGTCTGGCAAATCATAGTTTTAGGAGCAAGTATTTCACCATAAGAAACTTTCATATTTCTTCATAGGTTTGTTCTGTTTCTAATAGTATTGTGATCAAGATTCTTGAAGGACTGGAATAAGACAGATGCAAAAAAGCTTATAAATTATTTCTCCACCTTCAACTAATTAGAATTAAGCTAGAATCTCAGAAAAAATTGCTGCAACCCTTCCTTGATTTTCCTGTTTCCAACTTAAGAAAGTTGACAACCATTAATTTTATGCTTTGGGAATGGATACCTTACACTTTATCAGAGGGTAATGGGGTCCACACTATATTAAGCGGTCAGACAATGTGAGACTAAAGTTCCTGCACCCACGGACAAAATTAATCATAGGAGACAGATCCCTACTGCCCTGAGAGCAGAGCCCCTTTGATCTTCCAAGATCATTCCAAGAAGATTGAAGGGCCTCTGCTCATTGGGTGAATCAATACTTTTTCCATCCAAAATGGACTGTACAAACTTTGTATTTTGTTGATTTACTGATAACCCAAATAATGCTTAACCATCCCTAAATTTCTTTTTATTTGCTGATATGTCATGAAAAAAAACAAACAAACAAACAAACAAACATCATATTTTCACAGACAAGTCACCCAAACACCTGCAATAATACTGTACCTCCCATCTGTGCAAAATTAGGATCAATGTGAATTGGGTTGTAATCTCCACTCAGCCGATAAAATGCTGCTTGGCAACAACTTGTCTTCTCTCTAATGCTAGCATCTGGTGCATGACTGGGCTTGGAAACAAGTGACTTGGCACGTTCTGACCGCCTTTTTCCCCCAAAACCTCCAGCACCACCAATATAGAATGAGAACTGATTAAAGCAAACAGCTTCTCCTTTTTCATCATTAGTGGTGACGTTGATGAGCACTAGAGCTCCTTTCCCTTTGTCCAGAATGTCAGCAACTTCTGCCTTGCTTGTTAAGGTGGCTGCTGTTGGCAGAGGTTTGAAAAGTTCCAGATACTGCTCCCCATGAAGAAGCTGTGAAAGTTAAGAGAATACAGGAGTGGGATTAAAAAAATAATTGAAGGGTTTCCTATAGCTAGAAAAGGGGCCCTTGTAATGGCCTAGTAAACAGTCACAAGTGCACATTTTGTAGGAAACCCTTCAAAATTGTCTTGAAGACAATATGGCTTAAACTTGTCGTAACATGGATACAGACTGCAGTTTTACCAGTTTACTCATAACTGTAACAAAATTCTCTAATCTGACTTGCTATCTACAGCACTGATTTCAGCATTAATAGGACTGTGTAGTCATGCCTAAGTACCTTATTGGAAGGCATATGCCATGGTGGATGGGTGCACTTCACTTTCACTTCTGGCAAAGGCTCTCAGAAAAACTTATGACATTAGCAAGTATGACTGTCACATTTTATTGCTTGCAAAAAGAGCATATGCGGAAATTCTTATCAGGCCTTTCTAATCTTAAAAGATATCTTTTTAAACCTTTGTTGGGTCAAAA